GATCTACAAATGATCCGGTTCCATAGAATATAGTCAAACCGGGCACTAATTGCAACTTTAACAAACGAACTTTAAAAACAATGAGTGGTATTAGTGACGCAGAAAGGCAACAATACTTTCAGGTTTTTTCTAAGCTTGGACCTTCACCTAATGGCTATCTTTCAGGTTAATCTCTCATCATTTTTACTAGATTAAAGAAAGAAGTTTACAACTAAGCATTTTATACACATTTCAGGCAATCAGGCAAGGAATTGGCTTTTGAATTCGAAACTTCCGGTAACATGGCTTGAAAGAATATGGTATTTAATAAACTAAATTTATCGCTGCTTAAAACCATGTGTTTGTTACTTAGTCTTGTTTGCTTTTAAAGGGATCTTTGTGATATTGATAAAGATGGTCAACTCGACTTTGATGAGTTCTCGGTAACCTGTAGACTTGTTAATGATCTTTTATCTCGTATATATCCGGATGTACCTTCTTCACTCCCGTCTCATTTGATCCCTCCTAGCAAGGCACATTTTCTTGTAGGGAACAATGCTGGATATGTTGGCGGCGGCCCATCGTTGGGAATGAATCCAGCTCTTTATTCGCAACAAATCATTAGTCCCATCCCACAGTCTACCAACACAATTCCTCAAATAAATATTTCAAATACGATTCCTTCCTATCAATTATCACAACAATTATCACGAGTTCCTACACCTCCTCGCCAGGTCCGATCTCCTTAATTCCCTATGATATATTGGTTATCTTTGTTGTTTTATTAAAATATTATATTGTACAGGTTTAATGAACCTCTTTTTTTCGATCTACGTTAAAATAGAGTAGTTACAGTAGTTTTCCCGCTGCTCCATTATCTGATGATTTTGATTGGTATATGCCACCTGCTGATAAGTTTAATTACGAAAATGAATATAAGAAGCAAACTGGTCCTCACGGTTATGTTAGATGTAAGTTATTCAAATATGAAATATATATATCATTTCTTTCTGTGATTTACATGCCTCTTTATGAAGCTTTTATATTTATTTGTTTCAGTTGCTGACTTTGATGAGCTCTATCAACGACTGGGAATACCAAGAGAAGAATGTATTGCAGCATGGTTTGTTTATTCATTTTATTTTTATCTTACAATTAAAGACTATTTAAACAAATATTTGTTATTGTTTTAGGGGTCTCATCGATGTGAACTTTGAACAACGTGTAGGCAAAGATCAATGTCTTGTATTCCTTCATATTTTAAATCAGCGAAGTAAAGGTAAACGAATACCTGATAGTTTACCGAGTGCTTTGAAAACCTCACTGATAAGAGGAAAACTTAATTATAATTACAATGAAACTGCTGATCCATCATGGAAATCAAAGTTATCTGATAGCGGTTCTGTAAAATCAAGTGGTTATAGCAGCGAAACTCAGTCGAGTATGTATCAATACAATTATATGTGTTTATTTATAAACATATGATTAATGAGAATTAATTTGTAGGTTCTTTAAAATGGGAGGAAGATCGATTACAAAAGGAACTAGATGATTTAAATGAAAGGATTCAGAAAGCTGAAGAAACTGCATTATCTTCTTATACAAGTGCACTTCAATCATCTGGAGGTTCAGGTGTTGTAGCGGAATTCAAACAATTGTACGAATATAAACAGAAAAAACATGCCGAATTGGCTGAAAAAGATCAAACGAATAGAACACTCGAGGAATATGTTCGAAAAGAACGAAATAATGTGCGTGAACTACAAGATAACATACAGTCCTTAAAAAGTCAAGTACAATTATTGGAAAATAATCTAGAGTCAAGTCAAACCGAGTATAAAAAGCTTCAACGGGAGATTGATAGTGCAAAGCTGATGCGTTAGTGGATTGCATTATTTGTAATCTGTATATCATTTGTAGTTGTACTTTATAAAGATAGCCTTGGTATAAATATATTAAATTAATTACCACGTTGAGTGATAAGACGAAAAGCATTTATGGATATACAAGCAAGAGATGTGCCTCACTCGCAAAATACTGATAACATCCTCGCGCGAACTAAATAATATCAAGTGATCAATTATTTATCAAACACAAATGTTTTTTTAATAAAAGTAATTAGACTAAAATTCCTTTTTTTAAAAAAAAAAACACAAAAACAATAAAGCTATCGCTGAAACATAATTTTTTACTGATCACCAAATTTCGTCCTGTATGAGTTAATCACGCATTTCACGCAAGTTCCATATGATATACGAAACATATGCTAATCTCTAGTACGAGCAAGAATAGAGTTTTTTTTAAATATACCGCCATAATACATTCAATAATAATTTATTAAATAATATAAGAGTATAAAAGTACTAAGAAGCTATTCTATAAATTGAATTCTATGGTCAACTCCCGCTATAGTCACATGTCAATCTAGCATTCTATGTGCCTGTTTTGAGATTGTGAACAAATCTAGAGATAGTATGTATGTCGGATATAATTGGGAAAAATTAAAGCAACTATAGTGCAATTGTGACAAATGCAGATGTGACTACTGGGGTTAACAGTATCTTCGATGAAAAAAAGACATTAATCTATTCTTGACGTATTTTTATTAAAGACTTCATGACCATCATAGTAGAGATCCCCAAAATTAGCAAGTTAATAAGAATTCCGTATACACATCCCAGAGAAATTGTTGTTGAATTATTAAATAATGTCTACGGATTCGATACAAGTAATAATAAAGTTAACCAAATGTTTCATGCATAAATAAAGTTAATATAAAATATTAAAACTTACCGCATAAGAAGCACCAATATGAGATAAAATTACCCAGCCTATCAGAAGATAATTTTTCTTAGAAAATCCTTCAAAAGCAATCATCATCCACACTATATGTAAGAAGATAAATATGCAGGTTGTAATGGCTAAGAAAAAAAATAATGTAAATTAATGATAAAAAATTAAAAGAATTAAAAATGATTTGTGATTGAACTTTTATTATACCTCCGACAAGATATATTGTCAATGCGGAACATGAAATGCACATTAATACAGCTGGTCCAATTGAATTCACTAATAAAGTAGTGTAAGTGACAAGGCCGCTCATCAACCCAAAGCCCAGTCCACATACTAAATTCGATCAACGATTTAATATGGTACACGCATGTATAAATGAGTATTATATATATATCCATTTTTCAAAAAATGATATGTTTTTAGAAAGTACTAACCGAAAGCAAAGCTAGACCGATTATATAATGATTTTGGATTACTAGCCACTAATATAAGGCCTGGTTCTGCTCGCCTACAAGTAGAATGTAAAGAATTTCAACGTTAATTAGAGTGTAAATTGAAAACAAATACGAACCAAATCGAGTAAAGATACCATGTATAAGTTTGAATTACATCATAATATTAAATAAAAACCAGCGAAAAAATTCTTGCAGTATAACACTGTACAGTATTGTAATTTCATTTTTTGAATAGAATGGCCTTATAAGGTACCAAATAAGAGAAGACAAAAGTATCGATAATAGCCATAAGAATGCGCTGTAGAAAAATTACAAATATATAAAATTATGATTCAAAAAAAAACAATATAAGAATAATTGCTTTATTTTTAAGATGTCTAACCTCGATACCATTAAAAGCACGAGTTGTGCATCTTTTGCGATATGCAGGAAAAATATGCTAAGAGCCGGTCCGAGAGCTATTTATAAAATTGTCATTATTAGAAAGACAACATAAAAGTGAATAATGCTGACGTTAAAAAGCCGTACCTGTCAGGCCACAGCCAAAGAATGTAAGTAAAGTCATGGTAATAGAAAAGGGAAATATTAACTGGAGACATTCTTTTTGTATGGTTTGATTGTAAGACAAATAGTGTATCTATGCTGAGGCGTAGTAATGGGAATAACCAATTATCTAATTTGGTGTTAACCAAGAACCAACCAATCGGAGTTAGGACATCAATTGTATGTAGGTGTTGGATGAACAATGTTGTAAATTAATTTATCAAGTAGTACATGCACTACAAAGCTATGCAGCACGAGATCTTTTCAAAAAAATTAGATGGGAATCGTGATCGGCTGGGTCGGAATTAATCAAATTTTGCCTAAAGTTATTCAAAATTTTACCAACGAAGTTATTCACTAAGTTTAAGTACCTCGTTGATAATTTTGAATATAGTTGGCTAGTATTGCTTCAGATTTGACGAATTTCATTCAGAATTTTGAAAACTAGAGTCTAAATTTAAAATCACTTTTGAAAAGATACTTTCCAACTCATCGATGTAGATTAAAGATATTCCGTCGATTCAAGTTGATTTCTTTGGTCTGATTGGCTAATCAACAATTTAGTCACATGATATGAAAAATCGCTAAAAAAAATGACTGAAAGTTTTGTAATACATTTTATATACGATTCTTCTTTGGATACTATTGAGCTTGTTCAGTAATATGAGAAGTGTTGTGGTCAAAATATCTTAAATTTCTAAAAAAAATTTGCTATACCGATATACAGTAATCGGCATTTTTGATTATCACATAGCTTCGCTTAGCTTTATCAACACGGCATAAGATAGATACCCACACTCTAACTGGTCAACTTAAAAAGTTTTAATGGAGTTCTCAAGCATCTATCCCAATAGTTTCAACAAAAATCTGATTTGCCAGTCTGATCAATTTTTTACTCGGCCTATAGTGCTTGAGATATGCACTGAATCCGTATGAATTTTTTTGATATCCTTGATTTTCGTTCAACTTAGAGCTTTTCTACGGTCTGTTTAATTCTACGTACGGCTTTCCGGCCAATAACATCCCTGGGAATCTTCGCTAAATCGAGATTAACCAAAGTTGTGTGTTTTTGATATATTTCAAGAATACGTATAACAGATAGTTTATGCGGACGTAGATCAATATATTGAATTAGCGTACAGCAATGTGGGATACTTTTATTGGTTAAATATAAAATTTTACATCTATAAATTTCTGCTCTTCACTTTCTTGTCATATTTCAAAAACAAAATGATACGTTCTCTAATAAATATTGCATTATCATGGCAAATGCTTTTATTAGTTCTGTTGAGTGTAGTTTTAGTGCAAGTCGATTGTTTTGCTATAAGTGATATGAAAATTGCTATAACCTCGTCCGAGTCCGTTAGAAAATTTTATGAAAGGTAAAAAAAGGCTGTAAAAACGGATATCAATGATGAAATTTTTATTTATATAAACAATATATTTGTATCATTAGCATCCCTTATCCATCTTCTTTTGATAAACCAATTCAATTAACCACAGGAGATGATTTTAAAATGGTATTTGTCATTAATGATAAGCAAACACAAAAAGGAGTCCAACCACACCAAGCTTTTTTGACATTAACTTCTGAAAAAAGTGGCAATCAAATACCCATTATTATACGAGTAAGAGAAAGCGGGAAAGCAAAGGTTGAATTGGTAGGATCTATTGATATAAAGTTTCATAGTTTGAAATAAATTGTAAAGGTTATGAATTGATTCATTCTGTTTATTATTTATGAAGGATATGAAATCGGCTCCTAATGAACTTCTTTCATCACCCGGAAATTATTCTCTTGACTTAATAATCGGAACTTTTTCTCATAAAGATCCACTTAAATATCACATCGGTACTCTTGATGTCGATGTACCTGTAATGTCGTCTGGACCTTCTCCAGTTGTTTATGGACCGAAGCCGGAAATTCACCATATTTTTAGACCTGATGAAAAGTTACCACCAATTTGGCTTTCATATAGTTTTGTGGCAATAGTAGTAATGCCATGGCTATTCTTAATCGGTGCTGTACGTATTTTTTTATTCGTTTTTATTTGTTTTTATTTTATTGATCCTAACCAGAAACTATTTATTATAATAAAGTGGACGTACATTGGCGTGAATGTTTCTTTACTTGCTAGAGCACCGGAATCTGCTTTAATGTCTTTACTTTTTTTGAGTTCAATATTAGCCATTGAAGTCGTATTTTATAATTATTGGACGCATTTAAATATTTTTCAAACTTTGTCATTTCTTACTGGGCTAAGTATTGTAGCATTTATTACTGGCCAGAAGGCTCTCAGCGATGTTCAAAAATGGAGGTCATTAGGGTTAAGATAGTGTTAATATCAGTATCATCGTATTTAATTTATCCAAAAAATCAGTTCAATGTTTTATAATGAATAAATGAAACATAGTACTTTATTAACTGAAAATTTACCACTGGTGATACGAAAATTTTAGAGGTAAAGCCACTTATCATATAAACTTGTTACCGTTATACAAGATCTTCGATCATGTTCATATGGTTTATCTTTAAATTTTTAGCAGACAAAAGATAACTTAATTATTGTGTAATTTTTATAATATAAAAATTAAAACTTCAAGTAAAAAAAATTTTAATGTTAGAAATAGAAAATTTCTAAACGTATACTAGTACATTGTTTTCATGGGACAGCTTTGGACAAATTGTGAACAATTGTAAACAATTTTGAACAAAAAAGAATTCTAAATTACTCAATATTCTATTAAAATAACCTATTTTAATCTTTTAAATAAAAATATTCGGAACTACAAAAAATATATAATTAGATCTTTTTCAAGAATATTTCATCATGGTCACGTAATTACTAATTTTTTTGCAAATATACGAATATACAAATTCTATCTTATAGACAAATAATTTATATTTTATTTACAACTTCTTGTAAAGCAAGCACTTCAAATAAGAAACCTAACGAAAAAATATATATAAAATATATTGAAAAAAAACAAAAATGAAAATTGCAAAGAAAATAAAATAAATCATTAATTACTTTTCTGATAAATTGATTTATAAATTCAAAATTTAAGAGTTATCTAATAATGAAATTAGAATTATTTTCTGAAAAAAGAATAAATTATATTAATGCAGAAAATAAAATAATACAATAAAATAAGACCAATAAAAAAAAGTATAAAAAAATAAAACATTTAATAATTATATTCAAAATAAAAAAAATGTATATATATATATTTTTTATTAGTTTGTAAATTACAATTTTTTAAAAACTATTTTCTAGAAAAAACATAATATCATTAAATTTACCTTAATTATACTGTTTACATATATTTAATATTGCTATTAATCTTATTATTATTAGTAAAAAAACAACAGAAATAAAGAAAAATAAAATAAAACAAATACTAATACTTATCTAATACTAATAATATTGTGTTATTTTATATTTATAATTTACTGTTACTTAAAAAAAAGTTTATTATATATTGCAATTTAAGTAATCAACAATTAAAATTATAAAAAATAATTATTTTAATATTACTAATTTATTATTTCAAACTAAAATTAGATACAAAATCTAAACTTTAATAATAAATTTTTTAAGTTAATAATGTCTAATAATTATAATATTAATAATTTTTATATATTTTCAAAGTAAAGAGATAGTACAAACTTTTGATAGTGTTATTGAACTGATAAAAGCTTATAAAACATCTTCATAGAAATTGTTGAATAAACCAAATAACAGATATATAAGAGAAGCATATGCATCAATCAGACTGTCAAAATTATTAGAAAAAAAAGAATATATAAGTATATTATACTAGACCATCTGAATTGGAAGTCTGAAAAGTCTGTCAGTTCTGAGTTGTATTTAATAAAGAATAATGAAGAAGATATCAGAAAAATAAATACTAGGATTTAAGTAAACTTTACAAGAATAAAAGCAGTTTATAAATAACTCTAACTGCAAATATTGTTTTAGTCATAATGTCAAATTAGATTAGCAGTAAAAGAGAATATGCTCATTCTAATAAATTTATCTCAAGGATAAAAATAGTTTAAGGATTATAGTTCTAAGATTAAGATAAAGGTATTTGAGTTAAGTAACTTGTCAAGTAATTTAATAAAGTTAATATCAAAGGCAGATTAGAGAGTTTAAATAAAACATCTAAGCAAGAGTGTTAAATATAACAACTAGTAAGAAACCTTTGAACAGATTTCTTAAATAAATAATATAGAAAAGTTATATGTATAGCCAATTGTATGCTCATCTGTAATAGTTTAATATAAACATATATTTGTTTTTTGTTTTTTTTTTTTTTTTAGTTAAAGTCCCTATCTTGGGAGTTGCGATATTTTTATTCAAGTATATTAGAACACAGCATGCCACCAGAAGTTCACCTTACATTAGAGGTTACAACTAGCCATACATGCACTTTTGGTGCTTAATTTTTTTTTTTTTTTTTTTAACTCTTTGGCAGCCTTGCCAAGATCCTTTATTAAGAGAATTGCATACATGATTATACAA